GGCTTTCTATTTTTTTTTTCCTTCACCCTCCCCCCCCCCCCCCCCCCATTTTTTTTTTTTTTTTTTTCCCCTAAATGACCGATCAATTATTTCTGCTTAAAGAGAAGGAAAAACTTTTTTTTTTTTTCTGAAGCTCCAGACGGGGCTGCAGAAAAGGAGAGTGGTTAGATAGCGGATTTGAGGCAGACCTACCCTAGCTGGATCTTCGCGGGAGACGCCTCGGCCGGGCCAGGAGCAGATGTGTACACCGCAGTCCGACAGCACTGCTCGTGTCTGCTTGTGAGCACCGTGCTGCTGTCGGGCTGCCCTGTTCTGTGTACATACCGACGGTGTATTTACAGTGTGTGCGTGCCTCTGTAGCCTTCACGCACAGCTTTTCCTCTGTGCTTTATATCTCTTCGGATTCACATCGCTCCGCTTTTGGACCGCTTCCCCCAAACTCTGAGTCATTCTTTCCGCCCGCTGTGCCAAAGCACCGCTCCGCGCCGGTGGGTTCCGTCCGAATCGTTCACAGCGGCAGGAAAAGGCGAGACGGCATTCCAGCGCAAAATCCGCGCAAAGCCCGCGGCCGCGGAGCTCTGCCCCTCGCAGAGGCGTGCTTCCTGCCTCAGCAAGAGGGATGGGAGCGCCGCGGGTTTCGCTGTGCCGGGATGTAGGCCGGGAAGGGTTTTATTCGGCCATGAGAACGGTGCCTCGTGCCTGGAAATTCCGATTTCGTACCGCGGTGGGATGGCCGGTCGGTCTTTCCCGGGATCTGCTGCCCCAAATCCCGCAGTAACCGGCAAGGTAAACGGTACGAAACCGGTGCAGCCTCCCACGAGCTCTCGTGGCTCGTATGAAAAACGTACTTTGGGGAAAACTGAGCCTAAAAGGTCGAAAAGGGAGGCGAGCGCTCGAGCGCTATCAGCAGCGCTGTGACCGCGTGAAAAACGCCTGTAATTATTTGCCATATTTTAACTCGCGCTTTCCGCACAACCTCTCCTGCCGCTCGGGTGTTGGCAGCGAACGCGTTCCGAATTTTACAGGGAAATAAAAATGCAGACGCGTTCTTTTAAACGTTATTGTTATTGTTATTCATTTGCTATTATTTTTGGTGAGGAACCAAAAAAATTGAAACCCGCCGCAAGTTGAGAACCCAAATTCCAAATAAACATCCAGGACTCCCGCAGCTAAGATTATTTTTTTCTGAATGGAAAAAGGAAGTTCTACAATCACATTTCGCCACAGCTGACTCTTAATAATAAATATAAATGACGTCGAGTTCCGTCTTTCCAGGAAAGAAATACAATTATTTTTCGCTATTACGGCGCGTCTACACAACGGCCACAAAAAATAGCGGAGGAGACCTTTATGTACATTTTTTGAATTGTTCGAAACTAACGGGCTCCCCGTTTGCGGGGATCCCGTAAGTGTTTTATAATTTTCTAACTCTAATAGGGGATAATAGTTTCATTATGGGCCTTTGTAATCCTGAATGGGGAGAGAGCGTCGTTAAAATGGGATCTCCGCGCGATTTCTGACTAAACTGTTGGGAGGACATGAAAAGAAAAAGCGAGAAACAGAGAGGGGAGAGAGAGGGAGAGAAGCGGCCCACACAGCCATGTAAAACTAATTAGAACCACACTTTTGCACGCACGATATTTACATGTGATTTTAATTCTCACTCGGCCTTCCCTTCCGTTCAGGGGGCTCTGCTTTCAGCACAGCACACCCCGAGCACCCCGAGGCTCCTACGGGGATTTCGGGGCTCCCCCCGCACACCGCAGCACCGCGCGTCCGCCGGAGGGACGGGGACCGGCGGCGGCGCGGGCGCGCAGCGCATCCCCGTTTAATCCCTAACACTGGCCTTGGATCTGGCCGCGCCTTGCTTTCCCCCCTCTCCCTCCCCTCCTTCCGCGGAGGACCGTAACCCTCCGCTCGGTTTCCAGAGCGCGTCCTGTTGCCAAATCAATAACTTCTCTCTGTTCCGCGGGGCGCGGGGCGGCCGAAAGCGAGAGCCCCTTTTACATCCTCCCCTCCGAGCGCGGTGCCTTACTGCAGCGGGCACACGGCGCTTTTTCTCCCCTTCCTCCCCCCCAACCCCCCCCGCCGCTTGGCTGCATAGTTAAGAATAAATCGGAGCCAGCGACGCCGCTGCCCGCCGCTGCCCGGCTCCCGGCGGCCCCTCTGCCGGGGGGGGTCCAAGGGCAGGGCCGGGCGAGGAGGGAGCTTCGGTCACTGCCGCGCTCAGTCCGGCCCGAGGGGACCGAATCCCCGTGCCCCGGTCCTGCCCGGGTCCTCTTAAGGCCCTTCGGAGCGGCTCCGGCCGTGGGATGCGTCGGGTTTGACTTTTCGTTGCCGGTCCCGCTTAGCGCGGAACGGAACGGGATTATTTACAGGGAGCTCCCAAACGAAACACAATGGTATAATTTAACCTTTCCGAGCACTCGTAAATTTTTACTGCTGTGAAACACAGCGATGCAAATGAGCGCGCTCATAGTTACTGACTTCATAACAACCCCGTGGCTCCCGAAACAATAACTCCTTATGAAATATAATAAATATGTATTTAAATACAGTACGCCGCAACTGCTATTTTGCTTCTTTTTATTGCTTCGATTGTTGTATAATTTTATGTGAAGGTCTCCGACCAGAAGGGTTTGGTGGGTTTTTTTGTGCCTTTTTTTTTTTTTTCGTAGGGAACGCGACTCACTGATGGGATGATTAATTACGGTATAAAATAGTCCGCTTAAACGAAAAAAAAAAATAAAATAAAAAGGAGAGAGGGGGACGAAGAGAGGAAGAGGAGAGAAAGAAAGGGAAGGGGGGGCCGTAATGCGGAATCCGATCTTTTAATCTCAGTTGGCCGCAATTAAAACAAACTCCGCCGTATAACTCAAATATCCCTTTGCATAAAAACATATGGCCTCGCTATAAAAATGATGGCTGGAAAACACTGACCCATTAATAGCCCGCGGACTGATTTATACTTTATTGTTCTGCTCCCCCGCCACGTGACCGGGGCAGCCAATGGGCGCCCGGGCTGCCCCCAACTTATTACTGACTCTACTTCTCCGCCAGCACCAAGTTGTTACGTGAAAGCCGCAGCCCCGAATTGCGGCGGGTCGGGCGCCCGCGCCGCGCCGCGCCATGTCGGCCCCCGGGACCCTCAGCAACTACTACGTGGACTCCTTCCTGGTGCCGGAGGGGGACGAGCTGGCGGCCCCCCGCTACGCCCCCGCGCCGCTGGGGCCGCCGCCGCGCCCGGCGCTGGCCGAGCACCCCGAGCTGACCCCCTGCAGCTTCCAGCCCAAGGCGCCCGTCTTCGGCCCCCCCTGGAGCCCCGCGCACCCCGCCGGCGCCAGCGGCGTCCCCGCCGTGTACCACCCCTACGCGCACCACCAGGCGCCCGTGGCACCGCCCGACGGCAGGTACATGCGTTCGTGGCTCGAGCCTGTGCCGGGCTCCTTGTCCTTCCCCGGGTTACCTACCAGCAGGCATTACGGCATTAAACCTGAACCGCTGGCGGCCAGAAGGGGTGACTGTACCACGTTTGACACTCACACTTTGTCTCTGTCTGATTATGCTTGTGGTTCTCCTCCAGTTGATAGGGATAAGCAAAGCCACGAAGGCGCATTCTCTGAAAACAATGGAGAAAGTGAGGCAAACGGAGAGAAACCACACATTGATCCAAGTAAGTGGGGCTGCGGGGAGGCGCGTTTGGGGCCGGGGAGGAGGAGGCGCGGTGCGGGGCTCCGCGCTGACCGGGCACCGGGGTCTGAGATCCGCGCTGCCCCTCGCGGGCTCTGCCGGGATCCGGGACGGCTGCGGCTCTACGGGCCGAGGAGAGAACAAAAACCCTCTGTGCGGCTGCGACTTGAAATAAAATAAAATAAAATAAAATAATTGGAAAAAAAAAAATCCCATCTCTCCCGCCCTCCCCGCCCCCCCTCCCCCGGCCACCCCAGCCAACTTCGCAGGACATACTCGCATCCTCCCGCAGCACTCACGGAGCGGGTGCCCGAGAAGCATTGGATGTGAATGTGAGCTGCGGGGCCGTGGGGGGGGGGGGGGGGGAGGGGGGGCAGCTCAGGGCCGGCAGCCGGAACCTCGCCGTTGCGCGGTGCCCTCCTCCCCCTCCGCCTCCCGGCGGAAATGCCCGCGCTGGGCGCCGCGGGGCCGCGGAACGGAGCTGCTCCTGTTAATAACGCCGTGCAAATAAGGGCCCTGAGCTGCAGGGGCTGTAATGACGACGGCCGTGGGCCGGCTCGTCAGCTCCCCGAGTCCTGCCAGCGATGACACGGGAGAAGGGTGAATTCTAACAGAGAACCAATTCAGACGAGCTGCCGCTCCGGCCGGGCTGGCACTCGGAGCGGCTGCGGGGAGGGCAGGAAGGAAGGAGGCAGCCAGCAGAGAGCAGGAGGACGGGTGTTTTCAAACTGCATCCTAGAAACAACTAAAAAAAAAAACGAAGGGAGGCGGGGGCGGCGTGGCTCTGCCGCTCAGGGGTCTCCGTGACCCCTCCCGTGAATGGGGATGTGGGTGCTCCGTGCCCACCGCGGAGACGAGGGGCACCCCGACACCAGGACCCCCCCACACCCACAAGACACCCCCCTGAGCCTCAACTTCTCCTCTCGCTCCCCCCGCAGATAACCCTGCTGCTAACTGGCTCCACGCGAGGTCCACCCGGAAAAAGCGCTGCCCTTACACCAAGCACCAGACGCTGGAACTGGAGAAGGAGTTTCTGTTCAATATGTATCTCACCAGGGACCGCAGGTACGAGGTGGCCAGGCTCCTCAACCTCACCGAGAGACAAGTGAAAATCTGGTTTCAGAACAGGAGGATGAAAATGAAGAAAATCAACAAAGACCGAGCAAAGGATGAATGATGGAGATACGCAGGTTAAATGGAAAAAAATAATTAAAAAAAAAAAAAAGCATAAAGTAAAACAAAAACAAAAAAAAGCAAACAACAACAACAAAAAAAAATAAAAACAACACCAACAAAACCCTCCCCTCGAGCCCTGCCATGCAATGCGTCTGGGTCCAGGCCTCAATTGTTTTTCCAAGGCAAATTCTGATTACGATTGTACCTTGCTTGTCACAGTAGCATGGAGAGGCCAGTTGCCAGGAGAGGTACAGTAAGACTTTTCATTTTCTAATAGGAAAGAAAAAGGGGGCATTAGCACGAAACGGCTGTTGAGCTAGCTTGTATAAATCTACCTGTTTCTTCACTTAAGAAAAAGAGGAAAAAAAAAAAAAAAAAAGAAGAAGGAAAAAGGAAAAAAAAAATAGAACGACGAGCAAAAACTACCTTTTCATAATGCACAACTATTTACGGACTGTATAGTTTAGTCAACGTAGTTAATTTTATTCGCTCTTTGCGCGGCAGAGAGATCTCTGCTCTAATACTTGAACACTGTGTTTTATTGTGGTAATTATGTTTGTGACTCAATTTATGTGCTTGGGTGCTGTACCGGATGTAATTGTGTAAGCTAGAATTCAATTTGAACTCAGGTTGTTTATTATAAAAATGGCATAGAGTATAGCTCTGTAGCGTATTAAGTCTTTTCTGTATAATTAGACAGTTAACCTTTGATTGTAAAATATATATTATATATATATATCCCAATTTAAACACACACACAAAAGTAGAAAAAAAAAGTTTGTCCGGGATGTCTGGGAATGGCGGTTCTCAAAATACATGGAAACGAGTCGTTTTAGTATGCACAGTTGATATATATATCGTACTGTCTGTGTCAGTTGTATATATGATCTATATATGAAAAAGTAACTAAGCAGACTAGCTTAATATTGTTTTTGCACCAGTGAGCAGTTAGCAGATTTCGGAGCTATACGTATATGTGAAAGGGTAACTACCTATGGTTTACGTTTTAATTTTAATCGAATGATTTGATGGTTGTTGTAATGAAGGTTAATTTTATTGATAATAAATTATACGCTATAAAAACCTACATTTGGTTATTGTAAATTTGTATCGCTTATGGAAAAAAAAAAAAAAAAATCATAGTAATAATAAATCCGGGAAGTGATGTTGATGCAGAACGTACACTGTCTATTTTGAAATAGTTACCTCATGGCCTACTGACCAAATCGTTGTGTTGAAATGATATTTAACTTTTTGCCAAATAAAATATATTGATTCTTTTCTATTCCGTGATGTTTTAAGGTTCTTAAGCAGGAGTTCCACCCGAAGTCCCCAGCGGATGTGGCGGGGCTGAAAGCCGAGCTGGGGCTTCTTGTGTGCTCTTCTGCAAACGCAGAGCCCCAGCACGGGAAAAACTGGGCTGTTTTTGGCTCTAAATGGGTCCGGAATGCCTTTGGTTCCCCGAGGGGGTGAGGCCCAGCTCCCCCCTCCCGAACACCGCTTCGGAAGCCGGCGCTTAGCGATGGAGATCGGCAGCTCCTGCAAAGGGGAGCGGGGGCTCCCGCTCACGTTAAGGCGATTTTATTCCATTTCTACGGCGGGGCGGGGGTTGGTGCGGACCGACCCGAAACGTGCAGCTCTCCTCGGAGCGGGCCGTCACATAAATCGGTGCAGACAGCGACATTTAGACCGGGCCGCTTCATTGCTCCTCGATAACGCGCCCGGAGCTCGGCGTGCTGCAGCGAGCTGGGGAAGGAACCCGCGCTCCGAGCCCATTCTAAATCCCCTTCTGCAGATAATCGCCCGTGCAAAAATATGGTATTGAGAACGTCCCCCATTTCTTTCTCCCTTCGCCTCCGCGTAGGGGATTTTTTTTTTTTCCTTTTTTAAATGTCCCGTGGCAAATAAAAACAACCCGCTGCATTTTACTAGCGCCGCAGATTATGTATGTATATAGAGAGACAGAGAGAGATAAAATTTTACTGACAATTATGGTAGAATTTATGGTGTCAATTTTACTCGCTGGTTCAGTCGAGGGAAAGAGCAGGGCTGGAGCAGGGGAGGCAAAATCCGATTATTCCTGTACAGCAACAACAGAAGGGAGAAAAGAAATTCTTCGGAGCGGGAGATTTCTGCGCCCCCCCCCCTCTCGTCCACCCCTCCCCCGCCGCCCCGAGCCAAACCGGGCTCTGCAACAAAAGAAATCGCGGAGTCTGCGAGCGCTGCGCTGCAGCCGCGTTGGGGCGGACATATTTCCGCAAGGGCGGCTCTGCGCGCCCCGACACCCCGACAGGGTGGAAGCGGAGCCCGCTCCGCTACCGCGTATCCATCGCACAGATGTGTACCGAGAGCCAAATAAGACGGAGCGCACTCGTGGTCTTTGGCAGAAGTTGTTGTTAGGAAAATTCAGAGCCGTGCAGCGCAATAAAAGAAAATGACTGCTGTAACCGTTTATGGGGTGTAAAACGCTGCAGGGCGAAAGGCAGAATGTAGGGAGCCGGCACGGAGCGTACAGATGTGCAGAACTGCGGGGGAAAACGCTGTCGGCTTCACCTTGAAAAAAAAAAAATAATAATAATAATAAAAGAAATCCGGGGTAAGATTTGATGAGTTCTAATTAGTGAAAGGAGCTCGTTCTGGCGTGCACACACAAAAAAACCCTAATTGAGCCCCGAGCCGGTGTTTGGGATGCTGGGACGCCCTCTGTTGTTGCAGACAGAGGCAACTTCAAAGAATCAGCATTAAGAGTGTGTAATAAATGACGGGTCTGCAAACTGTCTGGAATTCGGCCCTTAATGAGTTTACAACTGTCCAGCCACAATTAAGATTTTCTACAAAAGCCTTTTCATTTGTTTTGTCTGGCTGTTTTAGATAAAGCGAGCGAGCGGAAATAACAGCCTTTATGAGCCTCCCCCCCCGGCCGGGCTGGGCCAGGAGCGGACGCGGACGCGGAGCTGCGGGGCGCGGCCGGAGCGGGGCCGCCTGCGCGGTGCAGTTCCGCGGGGCGAGGCGGGCTGGCGGCGCGCCGGCTCGCCGGCAGGTGGCGCTGTGAGCCCGCGAAAGAGCAGCCGCCCGCCATCAAGCGCTCGGTCACCTCCCGCCAGCGCCTAAAATGTCGACGGTGTGGGTGCAGAACGCGGGCCGGAGCCACGGGCTGCGCGTCAACAAAGGCCGAGTTCTTTTTTTTTTTTCCCCACCTATTTTTGGCTCTTTCTCTCTCTTTCTCTCTCTCTTTTTTTTTTTTTTTTTTTTTTTTAATCTATTTCTTCTTCTTCTTCTTTATTTTTATTTTTTTCCTTTCCTTCTCCTTATCCCCGGCTCACTGAGCCATTAGGGCACACTGCGGGTAGCATCAATGTGTGGCCGCAGCAAAAGCTCGCTCCTCACCGCGTCCCGCGTTGTTATTCTCAAAGCATCCACCACGCTCCCTGTCAGCTGACAAAGCCGCGGCACAGAGCTGCGAGCCCGTCCCCTCCTTCCCCAACCCTCGTCCCGCTCAAATCCTCCCGTTTTCCCGGTGAGGAATGACATACACAGAAAATGCGGGGACAGCAGCGCTGGGACAGAGCAGGGCGAATCGGGGTGCTCCCGGCTCCAGCCGGCCCTGCCCGGGGCATGCGGTGGGCACGGGCAGCCCTCGGAGAGCGTGGCAAAGACGGCAGAAGCAGCGCTGCAGAGCTTTAATTGGAAAATTATTTACTGGAGAAGGGAAATTTCCAACATCTGTCTCTGGTACAAATAAAACTCTGCCTGCGTCCTCGGCAATTCCCACTCCGTGCGACCCGCTGTACTTCCATCGTACAGATGCTAACAGTCGGGTACTCCGCAAACTTGACGCGTCTCAAAGTCACTCCTAACTTCTTCTGGCCCGCTACTCTGATTTCCTCCTCTCGTTTTCGTATTTTTCTCCGTTTTGCTTTCGTTGGCTTTCGGTCTTTGGAATGAGAAGTAGTGGGGAATGGTAGCTCGTGTTCACATGTTGCCGAAAGAAAGGGGGGAAAGTAATTGGAGAGAAAACAGAAGTGGGAGGGAAGGAAGCACAAAATGTGCTCTGCTAGAAGATCGTTGTATTTTTCAACTTAGAGTCAGACAAGAGAAAGAAAAAAAAAAAAAAAAAAGCTGAACAGCGCTGTGTAACAGAACCGCTTTCTCTGCGTTTTATTTACATTTCCTTAAATCAAAGCCAATATCTTAACATCGAAATTCAGCATCGGAAAGGAATGCGCGCTCTGTGCTATTTTTTCCCCACCCCGTTGTAAAGATTTAATTCTTTCTAGGGATGGAGAGCAGCAGCCACTCCCCGCTTTCTAATAAGAGCCTTCTTATCAAATGTTTGTCTACAAAGGCGTTGTTAAACTTGTTATGATTAATTCCTTTTTTTTTTTTTGTTTTCTTTTTTTTTCCGAGGGCAGTAAAACTGCACCGAAATTAAGAAGTGTTTATGCGTCGTCATGAGAAGTAATAACGTGGCACAGCGCGCTCCATTATAATCGGGGATAAATTACGACGGGATTCTAAGACAACAAAAATCCTCTCTAGTGCGAAGCACATCGCGATCCCTCGGCACATGAGCCATAACCGGGCAGTGCTCCCAGGTCGCGCGTAACTTCTGAGCACCGTTTAATCGCTACCTTTGACTTCCCGGAAAAGCTCGGGACGCACAGTGAGGCACCCCCGGTTCTCCCACGTAAAAAATAAATGCAGTGAATGCCGCCTGGAGGATTATTTTTAAAGCGTGTGAGAAGATTGCGGTGACGGAAACCTCGCAATCTCAGCTCGCTCGCTATTTCCTCGACTGTAATATATAGACATATATATACACATTTGAATACGTTTTGCAGGCTGCTGTGTCCGAGGTTGTTTGCATGCGACAGAATGAGACATTTCGGAGCTATTTCCGAGCAGCGCCGTGCCGGCGTTGGACGAATACGCGGGGGGTGGGCGCGCACATAAGGCGGTGGGGGCCAATTCGGAGCTGCTTCGACGATTTGTTTGGCGGGAGGCATTTTGACGTTGTTTTTATTATTATTTGTGGGTTGGCAGATAAAAAGCTGCTAGCAAAATAAAAGAAAAGGCGGCGATCACAACACACCCTCGCAAAGCTAACGGCATCGCAGCGCTTATTTTGCAGACACGCGGAACCCGAAATACACGCGCCCAGCCCCGCCGTTCGCTTCGACGTTATCAATATTAGAGTCTAGACATCGGCTATGTTTGCCGTTTCTTTCTCCTCGCGTCTTGGTATGTTGTCACCAGAGGAGCAATTTATTGGTCTAATGTCATCTACTTCAGCTTCTTTGATCTTCTGAGTCGTCGTCTTGTTTGCTTCGCGTTCGTTTAACTTCTTGGGCCTTTCTTCCCCTCCGGCAGCCTCTTCTGCCGGAATGTTCCCACATCGACCGCAGTGATATTGCCAAAATCGGAATAAACTCGAGCAGAGCCCTTTTCTCCAGATTCTCCCCCGCGCCTCCGAGTATCAGCCGCGTTTTCACGTGCCTGGCGCTTGGCACATCTCTAGGAGCAGCCGCCACATTTGCATGCTCTGAGGCTGCAATATCTCGGGGACCTCGCTCTAAGAATTTACTCGCTTCTGTCAGAAACCTGTATTCATGGGGCTGCAATAACCGCGCATAAAGGCTCCCCAAGGGCGAGCGTGGAGGTGTGCGGGGGGAAGAGGGTGTTCCACGTTTACAAAACGGAAAGTTTAGGGTCCGTGCGAGATATCGCCAAGAACAATTTTAAGTGGTGAGAAAGTCTTTGTACACGGGGCACCAAACTATAATTGAAAGGAGAATTTCCGGGGCAATTCCATTGTGCTCCTTCCAGTTTATGATGTGCAATACAGGCAGGCAGTAAAAGCTGTCTTTACCAGGACTCCCTGTCTGAGGGAAGGAAACTCATTTTACGATCCGTTTAAAGGAAGGGCACGGTGCAGCATCCTCAATGCAGAGCCATTCGCATTGTTGGGGAGCCGGGGTTTAGAAAACCGGCTGCGTTCCCCTCGAGCTGAGAAGAACGGGGCCGTAAGGTATGTACAACGGAAAGGTAAAAGGGGTGCTGGGAAAAAAAAAAAATAATAACAATAAT